GGGTGAAATATAATGTGCTGTGTGAAATATTTCGTGGAGCGATTGGATTAACCTTTCCACATCCATTCTAGTACCAGTTACGGTACAGTGTGGCAGCGCTAAATAAGTTAACCTTTATCCTAACCTCCCAGCAGTGAATACTTAATACACGTATATTGTAGTTTTGTTTTAGATTTAGTTTTTTAAACTAAATACTGATCTTGATACACCCACCCATCCAGGCCCAACCCTCACCCACCCATCAAGACCCAACCCTCACCCACCCATCAAAGCCCAACCCTCACCCACCCATCAAGGCCCAACCCTCACCCACCCATCAAGGCCCAACCCACCCATCAAGACCCAACCCTCACCCACCCATCAAGGCCCAACCCTCACCCACCCATCAAGGTCCAACCCTCACCCACCCATCAAGGCCCAACCCTCACCCACCCATCAAGGCCCAACCCTCACCCACCCATCAAGGCCCAACCCTCACCCACCCATCAAGGCCCAACCCTCACCCACCCATCAAGGCCCAACCCTCACCCACCCATCAAGGCCCAACCCTCACCCATCAAGGCCCACCCACCCACCCATCAAGGCCCAACCCTCACCCACCCATCAAGGCCCAACACTCACCCACCCATCAAGGCCCACCCACCCACCCATAAGACCCAACCCTCACCCACCCATCAAGGCCCAACCCTCAGCCACCCATCAAGGCCCAACCCTAACCCACCCATCAAGACCCAACCCTCACCCACCCATCAAGGCCCACCCACCCACCCATCAAGGCCCAACCCTCACCCACCCATCAAGGCCCAACCCTCACCCACCCATCAAGGCCCACCCACCCACCCATCAAGGCCCAACCCACCCATCAAGGCCCAACACTCACCCACCCACCCATCAAGGCCCAACCCTCACCCACCCATCAAGGCCCACCCACCCACCCATCAAGGCCCAACACCCACCCACCCACCCATCAAGGCCCACCCACCCACCCATCAAGGCCCACCCACCCACCCATCAAGGCCCACCCACCCACCCATCAAGGCCCAACCCTCACCCACCCATCAAGGCCCAACACTCACCCACCCACCCATCAAGGCCCAACCCTCACCCACCCATCAAGGCCCAACACTCACCCACCCATCAAGGCCCAACCCTCACCCATCCATCAAGACCCACCCACCCACCCATCAAGGCCCAACCCTCACCCACCCATCAAGACCCACCCACCCACCCATCAAGGCCCAACCCTCACCCACCCATCAAGGCCCAACACTCACCCACCCACCCATCAAGGCCCAACCCTCACCCACCCATCAAGGCCCACCCACCCACCCATCAAGGCCCAACCCTGACCCACCCATCAAGGCCCACCCACCACCCATCAAGGCCCAACACCCACCCACCCACCCATCAAGGCCCACCCACCCACCCATCAAGGCCCAACCCTCACCCACCCATCAAGGCCCAACGCTCACCCACCCATCAAGACCCAACCCTCACCCACCCATCAAGGCCCAACCCTCACCCACCCATCAAGGCCCAACCCTCACCCACCCATCAAGGCCCAACCCTCACCCATCAAGACCCAACCCTCACCCACCCATCAAGACCCAACCCTCACCCACCCATCAAGGCCCAACCCTCACCCACCCATCAAGGCCCAACGCTCACCCACCCATCAAGACCCAACCCTCACCCACCCATCAAGGCCCAACCCTCACCCACCCATCAAGACCCAACCCTCACCCACCCATCAAGGCCCAACCCTCACCCACCCATCAAGGCCCAACCCTCACCCACCCATCAAGGCCCAACCCTCACCCACCCATCAAGGCCCAACGCTCACCCACCCATCAAGACCCAACCCTCATCCCCCCATCAAGGCCCAACCCTCACCCACCCATCAAGACCCAACGCTCACCCACCCATCAAGGCCCAACCCTCACCCATCAAGACCCAACCCTCACCCACCCATCAAGACCCAACCCTCACCCACCCATCCAGGCCCAACCCTCACCCACCCATCAAGGCCCAACCCTCACCCACCCATCAAGACCCAACCCTCACCCACCCATCCAGGCCCAACCCTCACCCACCCATCAAGGCCCAACCCTCACCCACCCACCCATCAAGGTCCAACCCTCAACCAGCCGCCACCCATCAAGGTCCAACCCTCATCCCCCCATCAAGGCCCAACCCTCACCCACCCATCAAGACCCAACCCTCACCCACCCACCCAGGCCCACTCCTCACCCACACGCTCACACCCGCCCCCTCCCCTGCGATGAGGCAATTTGATTTCACCAGCACTTTGGCGCTGGCATACGATCCGTGTGGTCAGTTCGGCAACACCTAATTGGCAAGACCAACACAACCTTTCCCTGGCCGTGAAACAATGGGATGGGGCTGATTCCTGACACAAGCTCGTATTGACTCAACAAACACCGCCCCGCCTGCCCCCTCCGTCATTGTCTCCCTGATGTCTGACACTGCTCACAACTGGACCACGTCGCTCAACCTTTCATACACACAGACTGTCACCAACACCGTAGTTGGTACAAAATGATTCGGACTACGAACAATAATCAGATCAATAGAGTTCACATCCTGTTGAGTTCGTAGTCTGGAGTGTTCGCAGCTTGAAACGTTATTAAGGGAAAAGTTCGTAGTCTAGAGTTCGTAATGTGAGGGGTTGGATGTCTTGATTGTTCGTAGGTTGGATCGGCTGAAGCCTGGAATGTTTGATCTCTATATTTATTGTAGGCTAGAGTTCGTATTTTGAAATGTCCATTATCTAGAGTGTTCGTATTCTGAAGCATTTGTAGTCTGAAATGTTTGACATCTGTATTTATTGTAGTCTAGAGTTCGTATTTTGAAACGTCCATTATCTAGAGTGTTCGTATTCTGGAGCATTTGTAGTCTGAAGTGTTTGACATCTGTATTTATTGTAGTCTAGAGTTCGCAGTTTTCAATTTCCGTTATCGGAAGTGTTCGTAGTCTGGAGCATCTGGAGCCCGAGTTGCAGTTGCCTATGCCGTGAAATTTATATTCGAGTCACGTCTTTAATAAAAGTGTAACATCAATGTGACAGCCATTATGTAACAGCACAATATATTCACATTTCTCCAACACTGTTATAACTAAAGTGTGGCATCACTGTTATATGAATTGTGTGACGTCACGGGCATGTTAAAATGGTTCAAATCAATAAACTTTTTTTTTTAAAAATGTAATCGATACTTTGGAAAACCTAGACCTGAACATGTACTTTTAAGTTCGCAATATTTTTTTTTGTTTAGTATTAGTTTTTGTTTTTTATTGTTACTAGAAAACAAAGAAAATATTTAACAAGTTATGAGTGCTTACGATGAGACACACTCATGTCACTCTGGTGTAGTGAGTGAGAAACTGACCAGCCTCTTTCTACAAACGGTTTTAGATTTCGTGTTTACACTCGCTGAAGATTTACACACTACAAATAGATCCTGGTTATGCAGTTGGATAGGCGTAAAAATCTATGGCTCCCCATGGGAATTAAGTCAGGTGAAACTAGACATGACATTAATTACTTGGTTGACTCCCTTGGTATATCCAAAGAAGCCATAATTCGATCAAAGCAAGACTTGTTTACGGATTTTGTTTTGAACTTTATTTTTCTTTTCGTTATATGAATGTAACATTGTGGTTACAAATTTCTTATTTGTGCTCTAGAAGACGGAAACTATAGCAAAGGCGTAGTCATAGGTGACGTCACATACCCATGGGAAGGAGGTGTGGGGGATATTGCGCAAAATACAATTTTTTGTTGTTTTTTTTTAAATCATAAAAACAATTAACTTAATATTCTAATGGGTATATGGAGGTCGTAGATCAAATTTGTGACATCGAATGATGTTGAGGGGTCTTGGAATAGATACTGTAACTGGTGTCCACCCCCCCCCCCCTCCCCACCCCCACCCCACCCCATTCGGAATAAAATGTCTGAAAGAAACACTGGTACCCAACCACCAGATGGCCAGTAAAACTTTGCACTAAGAGACCCGCGTGATTTAACACGATGATCGACTAGTACGACATCCATTAATGTTTTCAACGTCAGCATCAAATGTCTATTCTCAGCCTGATCCTGCTCTAGCTAGCCAAATAAAATTAATTCAGCACCCTGACAAAAACAGCTGTTGTTTTATGATGCGAGTTTCGTGTAATGAAGCTCTATTTATTTCATCACATCTCGAATTTCACCAGAGAATATCCGAGATCTGAGCCGGCGTTTGTCCGGGCTATGCTGGCATTATTTAAGTCCATCTAAATTCAAGAGGGGAGATTACTCTCGCGACCCGGGTTAAATTCTAGGGGAGGTAATTCTGTTCCCGGTTCTCTATTCTAGCATGCACGTTTACCATTGAGCCCGGGTCAACCTTGTCCGTAGGGACTGTCTGCTGACAATATTTCGCCACCGGTTTCGGCATAACTTGGTAGTCTCCCTTCGCCAATTCTATTGACTGACGACATTGAAAGGGGGATAAGCAAAGATTAATCTTTTTATTCTTTTCTGAGTTAGTCTAAGTCAACACTGTTTACACTGAACAGAATAATTTTTCTGATTCTGGCCCACTAAAAATATTATAATTTATACTATATTCAATGCTAAAACTATTTCCATTTGTGTAATATTGCATTAGAAATTCTGTTCTTTTGACACTGTAAAATAATCTGTACAGTTTTATGTTTTTATTATTTTGTTTCTAATAAGATGTTACTCCATGATTAGTGTTACAGCAGTCTGTCTAAAGATTCAACCAGTCCACTAATTTAGTGTCAAATTATTACACATTTTATAAAAGTCTAATCCAACATATACAACCAATGTCTTCCCCGAGTCATTGGTACCTTGAGTACACCAAAAAACTGACAAAAGACATGTTTTTCAAGTAGGTTATTTTATGTATTTCTTACCATTACACTGTTTTTCATAAATCTTTTTTGTTCCCTTGAATTTGAAGTGTATGCGATGTGGGCCAGACGGTAAAGGTCAGTGTATCGGCCCCAACATCTGCTGCGGGCCGGAGTTTGGTTGTCACATCTCCTCCAAGGAGACGCAGGTCTGTCAGCAGGAGAATCAAGACGCGACGCCCTGTGTGGTCAGGGGGGCGCCGTGTGGGGCGGAGAACTCGGGGAACTGTGTGGCTGACGGGATCTGCTGTGATGAAGGTTAGTTTAGAACATTTTGAATATTGTGTTAGTACAAAGGCCGATTTACAGCTCTATGGCCAAAGGTATTAGCTGTGATGAAGGTTAGTTCACAATGCGTTAAATATTGTATTGTTACAAAGGCCGATTTACAATACTGTGGCCAATGGAATTGGCTGTGATGAAGGTTAGTTTAAAGCGTTTATTGTGTTGGTACAAAGGCCGATTTACAAAGCTTGTCGGCGTTGAGGTAGAAGCTCTACCGTTGACTTATTACCAAATGATGTGTAGGGCCTATACAGCACATCAAAGAGATTATGTGAGCCAACTTTAAGAAAACTCCATTATTAGTAATTCAATGTTCGAAGTTAACGTGTGTCCTAAATTAAATTATTTCAGACAAAATAAAATTCTGCAATACATAATGTGTGCAAGAACTATTTCGTTCAAAAAATTAAAACTACCAGTAAAGTCCTTGAAGTCAACACAACTTTGCCCAGACTTTAAACTTCTCTCCCCTTTCTTCCAGTATCATGTGCGTCCAACGAGCGCTGCAGACAGACATCCAGCGCAGTTGACGGTCAGACCAAACGTAGCGACATCCTGCAGTTGATACACAAGCTTCTACAAGTGCGGGACTACGACTAACTGGCCAGATTTCTTTCAAGCTAAAAGTGTTTTTATTTCTTTTTGGCCTTTGAAAAAGAAGGGGAACATTGTAACGGGAGAAAGGGAGTGTACCTGATTAAAGAATATTAAAATATACGTCATCTTTGTTGATATCTGCTTCCACGGTATTGTTTGGATTCAACAGCAGCCAAAATAAGTAAATAATGTAATAAATTATTTGTCTGTTTGCATACATCGTGTAGATAAGGATATACCTACACAATGAAGGTTGTCACATGACTCAACTTGTTTTGATGTGATTTCTCACAGTGGGAATACGTCGGGTAATGAAGGATATTTTATTGTCTCTTGTTTACTTCGGACACTCATTGTATCCGCGCTATAACCGTTAATGGATCCACTCATTAATGTATCCACGCAATAACCGTTGACGGATCCATTCATTAATGTATCCGAGCTATAACCGTTAATGGATGTATCCACGCTATTGACCACTCCAAGCTTCCTTAATATCAACATTTCGTTTATACATCCATAATCTCCATACTTTGTTTATACATCCATAATCTCCACACTTTGTTTATACACTTTCACTCGCCACAATTTATTTAGCACGTATAGTTAACGTTTATTTAACAAAATCTGTTAACATTTAGACAAACTTTATAGCAATCTGCACACGTTGAATGCAGTGTTAACAATTTTCAAACATCAAATTCCTCATACATCACATATAATATGATTGACATATTAAAAAAATTACAGTATATTTTCAACAAATCATAAAAATGTACCCAATATTCACATGCTTACATTACAAAACAGTTACAATTTTCGAGAAATTATAAATGAACATATACAAACTTTTTAAGCCCACATATAAGATGAACATCAATCTCCAAGAGGTAGATCAGCAAAAAAAAAAAAAATTGTCCACTTTTTGTTGCTAATTCTTAATGGGGAAAAAATATATAAATATATATTTATTTTAACACTCCCAAACAAAGTAAATTATGTGTCTTATGTAAGCTTATCAAAAGAGCTTATTGAGACGTATTTGTATCGATTAGGTTAATCAATACAGCGTTTTCAAGTGTCCATTATTGTCAGAACACTGAACACACCTACAGTTTAAGTGCCCGTCAATGTCACAAAGACAAACAGTTACTGCAGAAATGTTCTGTTGTTGGCAGGGGAAATAACATTGTCTAACCCTGGCAGGGGCGATAACAATACGCCTTTATTTTTAAACAAAAATTATTTTAGCTTTTTTAAGGTTGGGCTATACTTAAATATCCATGCTATAGAATAGTTGGGTGTGGTGGATTTACTCGAATCGATTTATTGTTCATTCATTGTTTTTAAACAATATGTTATGAACATTTTGAACACTCTTAACTTACCCACCCGTGACGTTTGAAGGGAAGTGACGTCGCATAGTGCCCCCCCCCCCCCCAACAACACTAACAGATTAGAGTTCAACATGCCTAGAAACAAACAGTGGCTTATCACAAGAAAGATTATAACCCCACCTCAGCAATAAATAACTTACTACAAGATAATACTTGGTTAATTTACATGATGCAAGGTACAAATTAGCAGGTAAAAATACACATTGCATGAGTCAGCCAGAGTTTCTTCCAGGCATCTCTCCAGGCATCCCCCCCCCCCCCCCGAACGAAATGAAATTTATATATTTTATATAGAAAATATATACTTTTAACAGTGTCCGCCCCCCCCCCCCCCCGAAGAAAGTTTACCGCCCCCCCCCCCCCCCCCGAAAATTTCAAGTGCCCCCCCCGGAGAAAAAGTCTGGAAGAAACACTGGAGTCAGCTAACTCAAAACACATTGTATGTGTGTAGTTAAGTCAAGACACATTGCATGTGTGTAGTTAACTCAAGACACATTGTAGGTGTAAACACAAGACACATTCTACGTGTGTAGTTAATTCAAGTCACGCATTGTATGTGTATAGCTAATTCTAGACACATCGTGTGTGTAGTTAACTCAAGACACATTGTATGTGTGTAGTTAATTCAAGACACATATATTATGTATATGTGCTGAACTCAAATCACCTTACAGCAGGAGCATATGAATACCGAGTCACATGACACAGATGTACTGGCAAAGTATTGTTTAGTTAATTGTTTTAAAAGACTAATTAATTTGTTTTGTATGCTTAGGTCTAATCACCGGTATCTATTCCACCCCCTTTCGTGCACAATTGATCTAGGTTTAGTCCCAGGGTTTCTTGGACCTACGCCACTTGTGTAAGACTCCACGTCACTTTTGTAAGCTGTGTCAAAGCGGAAGTACTTATCGTCGTCATCGTCGTCGTCGTAATTCTCACTTTCCGAGTCGGGGGAGTCTCGACGGCGTCTGCGACGCTGCTTGCGTCGACGTTCGTGCGTGGCGTAAATATGGAATTCCCCATTCTCCAGTTTAACTTTGACCTCTGTGAATGGGTATTTCCCGTAGGTCCGTGCAAGCTCGTCCCTCAAAAAATCGGGAAGTCCCCTAAATTCGCCGTGAGATTCCCGGATGTCGATGTTGACGATACGTCCGAACTCAAGCTGACACGTGACACTGAACCCGGGGGTGAAAGGCCCGTATGAGGGGTAGGGCATCCTCACGGGCACTGGTACTGGCACAGGCTGGGGCACTGGCATCACTGGGTAAGGGTTGGCCACCCCCGGGTACATTGCCTGAGGGTTGTAGAAAGGGGCGGGGTTGACTACCTCCCCGTTCGGGCCGTAAAAGTACTGTCTGGGTGGGGCGTTGTAGAACCCCCCAGCGGGGGCGGTGTTGTATCTTTGATCAAAGTGCATGACGGGAGGGGGCGGCAACCCCCCGCTGGTCATATATCCTGGCTGGGGGTTGTACACCCCGGCCCCAATCATCGGGTTGACGGCTTTTGGAAACGGGTTGGCGCTGATGGCTGAATAGGCCGGCGATTGTAGCGAGGGGACCTCAAGGCCGCTGTGGCCACTGACCAACATAGGAGGGACGTCCAGTAGGGGGCGCTTGCCGAATCGTGACGACACAACCGGATCAACCATTATGTACACAAGTCGTCTGCTAGTCGCCTGTGTTTAGTGTTGAGTGCTTGGTGACATTTTTGGCCGGCCACACTGACATGAGTTGTACGCACCTTGGCTTCACGAAGACGTCATGTTCTAGAGGGAAGCAACTCTTGTGACAAATCTGAAATTTGAGATCGTGCACTAATGTTAATAAATGTAACAAAGCGTTGTTTTAGGGCCTACATCACAAGAACGTTTGTCTTATATTGCATGCGTGACATCATTGCTCAAATTTATCGGGCGTCCATAAATGACACCATGTTTTTTGATGACTTTTTACCCCTCCACATAGTTAGAAAAGACAGACCCGGTTGCTATGAACAGAAGCCACGATTTGAGCAGCTGATTCATTTTTAGAGTGTACCATAGGTCTATATCATCACGCTTCTCACGAACAACAAAATGACACTGGCAATGATTGAGGGTTAAGTGAGTCCGAGACACACCAACAAGCACATGAGCACACTACTAGCACGGCAGATGATGTGCTCATGTAGGTATGGACGCTGTGGTGGACAGATGACACAACTCAGACATGTTCGTGTCGTTTAAATCTTTTGTCAGACAAGTAGCCATTTATATAAATAAATTAGATATGATCTACCTTTGGCTGGCCAATTAGATATGATCGACTTTTGGCTGGCTAATTAGATATTTTACTATGATTAAGAAGATTTAAATGTGGGTATTCAGAAGACAATACTAGGTTGGTAAAGCTCATGGTTGCTAAACAGAACTCTAATTCCCCCCCCCCCCCGGGCAGATGGTGACAGTAACCGATTTAGGAGGAAAAAAAACTCCAAAAGCAAACAACTGCTGCCCTGTAGTTTGTTATTGAATGGACTTGGACTGGAAGAATATCCTAAGTTAACGGTAAAACAAGTTGAGGAATTGTGTTGGAGGAAATCACGTCCGACATTACAATTTGGAACGAAGTAGAAGAAGATAATTCAGTTTACATTATTCAAGATGTACTGATACTAATTAGTTATTATTGTTATTGATTGTTATTGTGTGCAGGCCTATAACTATAAATAGATCGTATATTCTAGCAAATGAATAACATCTCAGTATCATCAGAACTACCGCGGGTGAATGTGGGAAGATGACTTACCTTTAGCCTAGTACAAGGTGTGAATGTAAATAAAAAGTTACCTTTCGACTAAGATCAACAGAGATTAAAATTTCCAAAATGGCGTAGTTGTGTGTGTGTTAGCAACACCGGGTAGCATTGGACTATTTGGGCAAGTCTATGCCGTGCCCAGAACAGGTAAGTGTAGGGTTTGAAGCTAGCTTCACAGCGGGCTATAAAATACTAGTAATTCCTTCAGCGTAAAGAACTAGTGTCGCGCAGGCGTGTATCGAATGTGAAGCTCTCGTGTGACCCGATATCGATTTTTTATTTCGTATTGATCTGATCGTGTGATAAGTATAATATAAGGACCGTCTCCATAACAGACGATAGAGGGCTGTGTGAATCGACTCAAGGCGTTGGTTGTTACACGCCTATGCATTAGCTGGGGAGATAATTAGTAGGCCCACTGGATTACACTAGTTCAACCAAATGTAGTGTTATTCAAGGGAGAGTATTGCAGAAAGTTCCAAAAAGAAATACCTGTTCGTGCATCAGGTCCCCTACTTTAGTAGATTAAAATATATATTATATGTTTAAAAAATGTATAGTTTTCAGTCAACCCCGAGCTCAAGTAAAGTTAGAAAAGAGTAGAGTTTGTGTTAGAGCTTTCTTAAGGTTATGTGGTAAAAAAATGGATCTGTTATTGTAAATTATAAATTTAGTCGTCACGATATCAAGACAGATTATTAAATTTAATTTAGTCGTCACAAAATATGAACAGGTTTTCTTTCATATATTTCTCTTCGGGGTGGGTTTTTAAAACAACTGGAGAAATGACAGAAAGAAACACTGGATCTAATTTAATTGGATATCAAATGATTTTAAGTTTATGGGAATTGGAGGAAAGTTTAAAGTTAAACAAAAAGCGTGAACGGGGGGGGTCATTTGAAACCTGGGGGAGGGGGTTAAAACTCCAAGGAGAGGGACGGACAATGGTCAAGCTCAAATAAAAGGCAGTCTTGTTGAGTGGATAAGAACCATGAAGAGCCCTAGATAAAAATAAAAAGAGTACAGACTTTAATAAATGGCGCCTCCGACAGGTCCTTGGATTGAGATGACAACACAAAGTAACTAACATTCAGATATGTGGGGGGAAAAACAAAACAGCATTAGCTAAAACAAACAACACGTTAACAGGAGCCTCTTTATGTTGATGTAAAAAAAAAAACATCAAAGGGAAACAACGCAATTAATATTTTCGGCCGAGTTGATCGAGCATGGCTATGTTCCCCTAGTATGAAGTCACAATCTCTTCTAGATACCCCTTCATCACAAAAGCCCGAAACAGTTTTTTTTTTCCTAAACGGGAAAGAGTGGGGGTGGCATTCACACAAAATTAACATTAATAATCCAGATTAGTTATATCCTCGAAAGGGTTTTAAAAAATTAAACGGGTAGATCTAGGTGTTTTTTTTTCAAAACACGAGCACTGCCATTTTAATTTGGATATGCAGGATAATTATTCTTTGTTTTAAAATATTTCGTTATTAACTTAAACTTGTGGACGTTATAAATGGACGATCTTTTGCTAAACATTAAAGCTTTCACCAAAGCCGTCCAACTTAAACTACCGTGCATGTATCACTGTAGGCCTATTTAAGAAACTGCATTGTTGAAAATATTCTTACACACTCGTTTCGGCTGTAGGTACACGTATACTGTAGGCCTACACACAGAGACTCTGGTACCAGTAATTATACACACAGGTGCACAAACTAATAGAACATGTCAGAGGCGTAGCGACCCTTCCCGGCGCCCGGGGACATACTTCAAATTTGGCGCCCCCTCGAGAGCAAATTTTCGATTTGCACCCCCCCTCGAACTTTTCATTTGCACCCCCCCCCCCCTCAAACTTTCGATTTGCACCCCCCCCTCTAACTTTTCATTTGCACCCCCCCCCCCCTCAAACTTTCAATTTGGCGCCCCCCCTAAGGTCGGCGCCCGGGGACATATGTCCCCCCCCCGCCCCCCCCTCGCTACGCTACTGGAACATGTAGAATCTAGTATCCTACAGCGATTCATGCGTGGAGTTTTGTATTGCGTTTTTATTTTAATGTGACAATGATAAGACTTATACTGTTAATTTCTAGAATCTATCACCAATTTAAATTGGCATTAAAGTACTGGAGCTAATCTGAATCTAGCTAGACCCTAGATCCAAAATGGAGAGCAAAAACCATAGGCCTACACTACTCAGTTTTTCTTACACCCATTCTAAAAATGAAATTATTAAAATATTTAAACACCGAACATTTGGTATTCACCTCCGCAATACTGAAAGTAAAAGTAGATCTAGACCAAAGTAAAATAATTCCAAACTAGAATCTAGATCTAAATTAGTTAGACTACTGATAGTCTATACTAAAAAATAGATTCTAGTAAATAGATCCACCGTCGAGAACAAAAAATCTAAAGTATTTTAGTATTAAAGTAGACTAGATTCTAGATCGTGTAGTAGAATCTAGAAATCTATAACCAAAAGGATCAGGACTTTAGTCAACATCTCGTCATCTGTCATCTGAGTTACATGACTTCAGTGTCTTGACGTGTCACCTGATACACTAGAGAGACTATAATATTAATACTTTAGAATAGGATACACCCGAACTACACTCAAATTAAATAGTAAAATACAGTTAGATACACTGATCAGTTTCAATTTAATTTGTTAATAACTTATTAATAATGATTATGCCTCACTAATAGTTTAGTTTTGATTTAGACTTAAATTACTTAGTAATACTTAGGTCTTAGGCGTCTTAGGCCTAAAGTAAAAGTTTATTATTTTAATTTACAGACTTAAGATTATTTTCAAGTTGTCTGAACCTTAAGTCTTCTTAATCTAGATTCTAAGTACTAGATCTACTAATCTTAAAAGTAAAGTATAGAATCCCCCTTTACACCTTATGATCCATTGGGTAGCTGAAGTACTAGCGTTCATGTTTCTTGACCTTAGCAAATGAGGTAAGATGTGGTCAGCACTTTGCCCCGCTGCCTTTACTTTCCCTAACATAAGTTAGGTACCCATCAGAGCTGAGTGGACTCAGGGATATTTTACTCGAGACTTCTGGTTAGCAGCCTAGCGCTCTGCCGCTTAGGCCATGCTGTCCCACTCTAATTAATCTTAACTAAGTGACTTGTACACACTAGTTCAAAAATATTGGAGTAGTTTAAATAATAATTATGCACAGAATTTAACTGAATGTCTTAAGTTTTTAATGTTATCACATTCAGATGGTACCATCATCATCAAGTAAAAAATCAGCAGTGCAATTCATTTTAGAAGATAAACGCAATGAAATATGCAGCAACCTTGCTAGTCTTAACTCAGCGGTGAACAAATTGGATCAAACTTACACCAAAGTAAGTTGTTATTTGGTTCATAAACCCCAAGTACTAGTTTAAAAGTTTTAAAAATGTCTAGATCTATATCTAAATTAATTTCTAATTATTAGTTATTTGATTGAACTCCTTATTTTTTATTTTGTTTTAATTTTCCAGCTGGAGGAAATGATAAATGATGTAGATTTGCTACAATGCTCAACATTAGAGGCAATGAGAGTAGCCAAATACATGGATTTTTTCTTGGAGAAAATATTACTCAGCCAAGAAGCTATCACATTTTTGAATGACTTCAAAGTTGAGCGTAAGAAGTTGATTTTGTGTTTATTAAGTTCTAATTTAATTTGATAATAAATCTTATACTATCGCTTAAAAGTTTTTGTACAATTATTTTTGGGAATATTACATGTAATACAGCATTAACCATCATCCTCGATTAAAAACAACCTACTTTTTGGATGTCTTCATTTATTAAATAGATTTTCTTAAACTTGTAATAGTATTTATAAGGGTTGTAGATTACACTTAGCTATATTCACCATCATTTTGTCCATGGCTAGTCTTAAGGCACCACACATACATAATGGTTTTTAAATACAATAAATGAGCTGTTTTCTTAAATGCTTACTTACTTTAAACACATACACAGAATTTGAACACCTGCAAGGTGTGTGGCATCATTAATAGGTTTCCCTGTAATTAATTGCCGTTCTAGAATATATAGAAACTGGGGGCTATGGGAAAAGATTAATTTTTAACAGTATTTTTTTTTTAGCTTTCTCCCTAGTCAATAGTAAGGGAAACAATCCTGAAAACTGTAACCTGCCCATTACTTTTTCTACAATTTGTTTTGATATTCTCTCCAGCTGGTTCTCACTGGCCTTCAACAGAAAGTAACTCACACACAGAAAGTGCTCATGCTGCAACTGTCAGTATTCTACAAAACCAGTTGGAAGATATGCAAAAACAAGTGTCCAGCTTGCAAGAAAAACAAAAAATAAGTACTGATAGGATTGAATTGGCTGAAAAAAACATTGACTTGGTCAAAACGGAGCAAAAATCAAACCAAGACAATATTACTAAAATGGGAATCAAGCAACTCCTTCTTGACCAAATACAGTTAAGAAATGATAAAAGCATTTTGAAAATAGATGACAGAACTTCTACACTAGAAGATTCTGTACAGGCTATAAGAGGGGAGGTAAGCAAACTGCAAGATGAAATGAAGAAAGTTGAAGTTTTTAAAAAATTGCTGCATCAACTTCAGCAGAATGTTGACTCAAGAGCTGAAACATCTACAAAGCTATATGACCTGCAGTCTGAAGTAGCAAGACTTCATAGTCTTATGTCTTCTATTGAGAATAATCAATGTAAAGGTGAGTGTCAGTTATTCTCAGCTACTATTTACACATGTGATAACCATATTATAAAACACATAAAACTTGGCAGTATACATCATTTTTTTAAATTTAATTTTTAAATGATATTAGAATCAATTTAATTGTTTATCTCTGTGAATTTTTTAATCATATTAGAATCAATTTAATTGTTTATCTATGTGAATTTTAGATGCCATTGAAACTGTACCAGCGTTTGTTGCTGAGGCCAAAATTAACACAGTCAGACCAGGAGAAAGGTTAAAGTTCACCCAGGTCAACTACAGCTCCTGGGGGTGCTATGATGACACCAGCAGCAGTTTTGTGGCCCCCGTCAGTGGACTTTATTTTTTTAGTGTATCAGTCAACACCAACAGCCCAGGTCCCTTTTCTCTAGCAATCATTCACCAAGCTGAACCTGTTGCTCTGTGCGCCACGCCTGGATCTACAGATGTTCAGACTAGCACATCTGTTCTCTTAAACCTTTGCGCTGGGGAACAGGTGTGGGTAGAGGCGGAGTTACGAACTTTCCCTCAGGGGGTCGAGATTGGAGGAGGTTTTTCTAACTTCATTGGTTTCCTCATTAGGTGATAGTACACTAGTAATTGTCCCATTGAGAGCATTACGGTCACATTTCTAGCTTCATTGGTTTTCGCATTAGGTGATAGTACACTAATGAATGTCACATTGAGGGCATTACGGTCACATTTCTAGCTTCATTGAGGGCATTAGGTCACATTTCTAACTTCATTGGTTTCCTCATTTGGTGATAGTACACTAATGAATGTCACATTGAGGGCATTACGATCACATTTCTAGCTTCATTGGTTTCCTCATTAGGTGATAGTACACTAATAAATGTCACATAGATGGCATTACTGTCACATTTTCTATTATTTTTTTATCTTGGTGCTTTTATAAAGTTTTGCAATAGCTGTTACAAATAAATCAAATAAACGTTCACTAAAAAATACAGGTCTGCATTTATGTCATAAAAAGTAAAATGCATTGAAATCGGATGTGTTGCACATTTGTTTATTAAGATTCAGCAGCTAAGAACCTCTGTATTTAGTAAGCTTTAGCTAAGAACCTCTCTCTTATTACACTAGCAGTTAAGAGTTTTAATTTTGAGCAATGATTGCTAACTTGACTCCCCTCATGAATATACAGTAGAACCCATATATATCTCATGTGTAGTTGTAGTATTTTGCACACAAACATGATTATAGTAGCACACAAACAAGTAAGACCCCATTTTTAACAGGGTATGTGTAGTGCTGTGGAAATTTTTTGGAGCTCACCCGTATCATCATAGTAGTAAGCTGGGAGGTTGTATAAAATGTGTAAAATGTTGCACCTATTTTGTGCCATGTTCTAATTTATTCACATTATTTCCATGCAACAACAACCAACACACACAACAACCACATAGCAACAGCTGTTAACACTAGGAGGCATTATCATACATTGTCATACAGTGTAACCATTTGTTTTACTTAGTTAAGTCACAACTTTAATTTTTAAAAATACATGATCTCCTATACTGAGACATCACAACATTCATGTATTCTATTCTCATTCTATTCCACTATATATTATATACACAATATAAATGTTATTTATTCATTCCACAATTTTAAATGCTATTTTATTACTATGTCTTAATATTTAATTGCTGTTTTATTAAAATGTCTTTGATATTTTTTTTAATAACTGCCAGTGAAGTTAATGAAAAACTTTAATGGGGGATAGCATGGTCTAGTGGTAGACCACATGCTATCTAACCCAAAACTCTTGTTTGGACTGTAAGTAATCCTCTGATCAAACTTCCCCTAATGTCCCAACTAGCTGGTGCGATGTACTAGGGAGAAAACAAAAAACCCATGTGTGTAGCTGCTGGTAACGTGGGTGAGAGAAATGATTTGTTCTAAACACTGTTCCAGTCTGCCTGGCTGATGAGAACATTTTGGAAGCTGTGATAAATTTATACGAGGGAGAAACCAAACCAACCTTATGCTTCAACTTTATGTCTTGTTCCCATTCAACAATAAAAAGAAAATACTTTAAAAATAAAATGTTGTCTTTAATTGTAAAAAAAAAGATTGTTGTGTATATTAAAACTAAGCATAGAATAACAAAATAGATTTTTGTTGTTTTTTTTAAGTGTACGTTATAAAAATATATTTCAATACAATACATTTTATTTTAATAAAAGGTACTAGCTTATAACTAAATAGGAAAATGTTTTCATTGAAAATTGTCAAGTAAAAATAAAATGCAGAGAGATGAGTATTTTTTAAAAGTCTACAAATGTAAAGAAACAAAGTTTAAAAATCTGCTAATATAAAGAAACAAAATTTAAAACAAAAAATGCAGTAAGAGAAAATGGATTTGACAAATAATTTGCAAGTCAACATTTCTCCTGTGACATCAGAACAGTTTGATTTTGTTATAAAACTCATTCAACATTTTATTTATATTTCTATGTGAACATTTTATATCACATCAAATTTGTGGAGTGTCAGCTATAAACTGTAAATGGGTGTAAACAATCAAGCAACTAATAAAAAAAACAACTTTAAAATGTGATTTTTTTTAAAGAAAATCATATCAATAATAGAGTGAAACAACGATTGTAAAAAAAATATTGTTTTGCAAGGTATGGTCAATATAAATTAACAGAAATATGTAATAATTCTATAAAAATAATTTTTGCAAAATTTAAAATCACAAATTTTTAACAGAGATTCCTTGTCATCTAAAAATAGACTGTCTACTTTATTCAGCAGGACCCAAATCCAATGTGAGGATATTTGTAAATCCAGCCTTTGTTTTTAGTGTCTGAAAAACAAAACAACTGTCTTAGAGGTGTATTAGTTAAGTATTAGTATAAGATTTAAACTACAACTAGCTGTAAACCAGCACACAAAGAAATGTTAAGTAAGAGTTTCTTTAACGGCAACACAAAATAACATTTCAACTCCTTTCTGAATTCTAGTTTAAAGCAGTGATAGAGGGGGGAGGGGGTTGAAGTGGATATCAACAGGCTTATCTGATAACTTGAATAAAATAAATTTTGTGCAGAATTTTACATCAAAGTTTTTAGTCAACATGTTTACAGCATCTTTTAGTCTAAGATAAAATCTGGCATGGGCTACAGACCTGTAAGGCTTTGACCAATTTTTTGTATTGCTCTTTGTCTTTCTTCTTTGTAGGATCAGTGACACAGTCTTCAATATTCATTTTGATGTAAATCTTCTTTAGCTGGCGACAGTTTCCTATGTCAGATAATTAAAGATATACACATATACAAAGACAGTTCCATTAAACCAAGCTTATTCCTATGCTTTGAAAATGTTTGTAGTGTAGAAATAAATGAGTGAAAGTGATGCACTTGTTGCCCTATTGTGTGTTATTCTATTCAATAAATCTTGTTAGAAAGACATTACAGCTTACAACTGTTGATTACAAATTGATCCTCATACCATAAGATAAAGTAATAATAATTTAGGATGGAATAAGCTCATTTCACCATTTGTCGGGGTTACCTGTTTAATTGTTACTGGTGTTCCATTTCAGGCACATTCTATAGAATATCTAGGTGGATTATAGAATGCTGGATTTGCCTAAAAATCACGTATCATAGGTATCCTCAAGGGGGTGTAATTTTACCATGCAATGGGTGGGTTCACTTGACCTCCAGGGCTATCTCATCATACAGGAAAAATTGGTCATGTCAAATGTTCACTGTGACTTTCCTTCAGTGGGGTTTCTTTACATATGTTTATGTTATAGTATTCATATGTTTAGTAGACTAGTCAATGGTAATTACTGGCTCTAACGTTTTTTTTTCATCAACCAGGCAGATTGAAACAAGGCTAAGAATCAAGAATTTCTCTCACCATTTTACCAGCCACTAGTGTGGGTTTTTGACAAGCTTTTTCTTCCTCCCACAATGCAATACACTACCTGGTTTGGATATAAAGGCCTGTTTGGTCAGGGGAGAACCTATGGTATTGAGCCTGTATTCAGAGCTCGTGATTTTGGGGTTAGGAAGCGCACGGTCTGACGCTAGATCACTTACCCTGAAAACTTTGTATTGCCTTAGCTTCTACTGATGTGCCAACGATAGAGATGGACTGGAGTTGTTTGAGACCTGCTTTACACAGGGCAGATGCCACATCTGATGTCATCACTATGCTGTGGTCAAACAGGATGTTGCGTAAACGTTGACAGGACTGAACTGAAATAAAAAATTCAAGGCTTTAGTAGGATACTATTCTTGAAAAAAATCAAATACCATACTTTATTTTAAGTAAGTCACTTACTGAGAAAACTTTATTTAATTAAGTCACTTACTGAGTGAAATCAGTCCAGCAGTATCAAATTCCTTCCCGCCTAATCCAATGTCCTGAATGTCTTTATAAAACTGACCAATCAACAACAAGCAACGGTTGTTCATTGCGTTCACTTTTTCACTGAGAAAAGGAAATAATTCCTAACAAAATTTAACCTCTATTATTTCTTGATTTTGCCTAAATACATCTTAAATGAAAAAGATTCTTGATAGCTTAATAATTTGATTAAAACAAAATCAACTACCAATATTTTTAACTACATAACCTACTTACACATATATACATAGAAATATATTTAGATATATTATATATATATATATATTATATATATATATATATATATATATATATATATATATATATATATATATATATATATATATATATATATATATATATAATAAATATATATAAATATGTGTGTGTCTATACACATATTTATATGTAAAATAAATATATATATATATGTGTGTGTCTATACACATATTTATATATATATATATATATATATATATATATATATATATATATATATATATATATATATATATATGTGCGTGTGTGTGTCTATACATATATATTTATATTTATATACATATATATATATAGGCCTATATATATAAATATATGTGTATAGACACACACATATATATATTTATTTTATATATATATTTATTTTATATATATATATATATATATATATATATATATATATATATATATATATATATATATATATATATATATATATATATATAGGCCTATATATATATATTAAGAACAATCATTTTAATTGCTTGGGAATTCCCATTTTTGTCTTGGGAATTTCCAAAATTCGCCTGTAAGCATTATACATTTAATTGCTAGTGAGTGGATTTAAATCTCTATTGATTTTCAATATTCAAGAATGGACAAGGTAAATAGCTTTATTATGCTTATTTATAAGGCATAATGTCTAATGAGATTTCTAACCTGTTTTAAATCCAATTCAAACAGGTTAGAAATCTCAAGTAACTGGTTTTACAGTTACATATTATATTTATATATTGGCACCACTTTTACATTTACTGTTTTACACTACCTAAACTATTGTCTGGTGTCTCATGCACCACATTTGTAACATTATGCTGAATTTGATGCCTGTATTACTTAATTACTTAATTATGGTCTACAGATGCTGTCTTCAAGTAAAAAGAATACTATGCAATTAATCCTAAGAGAGAAACTGAATGAAATACTGAGAAAGCGTGATGATCTGACTTCAGCAATGAAATTTTTGGATCAAAATTTAACCAAAGTAAGTGTTTGTCAGAGTAGTAGGTAACATTATATATCTATCTTTATGTCAAATTATAAAAAATGTTGTTATTTTCCTAAAATTAGAAGATGTATGGGTTAGCCACTGTGTAGGGTACATGTCTTATTGTTTACACTGACATTCTATTTTATGTGCCTCTAGTCCTGTATGAGTGTTAAAGAGATTACAGAGTTTCAGTGGTGGGTTGGCTTAGATGATTTTAGAATGCTTAAATACAGTAATGATCACTCTGTATAAAAGGTAAAGGACAAAGTAAATGATCCAGATATAACACAGTGCTCCACAAGTGAAGTATTAAGACTGGCAGTGTACATGGATCTTTTTTCTGAGAAAATGTCTCTTAGCGAACAAGCCATTGATTGTTTGGATGATTTAAAAGTTGATTGTGAGTAAAGAGGTGTAGCAATATCTATAATACAGTAGTGTAGACCAACAAATATATCATACAATTTAATAAGTTGCTATTTGAAAAACCTTTTAAAATACCTTGAAACACTTAGATCTAAATAGAACACTTTACATATCTACTTTTTTAAAAGAATATATAATTTTAAATTTTAAAAAACATTTTGAAAATCGTTTATTTAAAAAAATGAAAGTTGACACATTTTATAATCATTAGCTGTTTACTAGATTTTAATTGTTTTAATTTAATTCACCTTGTCACATTTTAGAAATGTTAGGCCCAAGTATTAATATTTTCTTTCCACATAAATGTCTCTTTATAAATCAACTCAGCTTCCAGTCAGTTTTTAGTAGATGCCAAACTAAAAACCATGGAAAGTCACTCAGCAAGTGCCAGTTTATTTCAAAACCAGTTAGAAGATATGCAAAAACAAGTATACAGCTTACAAGAAAAACAAAAAATAAGTACTGATAGAATTGAATTGGCTGAAAAAAATATTGACTTGATCAAAGTGGAACAAAAATCAAACCAGGACAATATTACTAAAATGGGAATCAAGCAACTCCTTCTTGATCAAATACAGTTAAGAGATGATAAAAGCATTTTGAAAATAGATGAAAGAATTTCTACACTAGAAGATTCTGTACAGGCTATAAGAGGAGAGGTAAGCGGACTGCAAGATGAAATGAAGAAAGTTAAAACTCTTAAAAAACTGTTGAACCAACTTCAGCAGAATGTTGACTCAAGAGTTGAAACATCCACAAAGCTATATGAACTGCAGTCTGAAGTAGCAAGACTTCATAGTCTTATGTCTTCTATTGAGAATACTCAGTATAAAGGTACATTAAGAAAATTTACTCCAAAAAAAAATAATTTTTAAAACTATACTTTATATACTGTACACACTAATCTTTCAAGATATAACAGTTTCTGACACATTACCATGTAATTAGTGACATTTTTAAATACTTTTATTAACTATAATCCATTTTAAAACATTGAATTTAATTAAATTTTTTATATCCAATTCATTTCTAGAGTCAGCTGATAGTGTTCCGGCATTTGTGGCTGAAACTGTTGTTAACAAGAACCCATATAAACTAGGAGATAAATTAAAATTTCCCAAAGTGAGATACAATAACCGGAACCATTTTACCAACCTACACCCAGGGTGTAGAGGTTGGTAGTGGCTTTTCTAATTTTATTGGTTTTTTTATCAGATAATTATAACAAGTTACTTTTATTACTATTATTTGAATAATTATGTTGTCCAGATTTTTTATTTTATAAATTTATTCACCGATATAATAACTACAAATTATTATTTTTTAGGCTTTTTGTTCTTATGCTATTATGCTATGGTTTAATATTATTAAATTAAAAGGAATACGCACCACGGATACTTAGGTTGTACAAACAGGGACGTGACACCCGGACATCCTCCCCCTAGAGCCCACATTAGCTGGGGTGTTATGGGGTCAAGTTTACTCTGATAGGTCAGTTTGGTCAGCAGACGACAGTAGCCACTCACTAGCCACAGACATCTGAAATACAGACCACACCAAAAGAAATTATCACCACACATCATTACAGACATTTTATAGCAACCAATGATGTTTGTTTGTTGAAAAAAATTCCCTTTAATCTTTCATGTACGCCTTTTATGCCAGTGACAAATGGTACTTGTCAGCGATGATTTTGTAAAACAATGATAAAATGAGGTAAAAGACAAAAGGTACTTGTCAGTGATGATGTTGTAAAACAATGATAAAACCAGGTAAAAGACAAAAGGTACTTGTCAGTGATGATGTTATAAAACAATGATAAAGCCATGTAAAAGACAAAAGGTACTTGTCGGTGATGATGTTGTCACAGTCTGAGATATGAAGACTTGAAATAGTGTTCTGGCAGGCTGACAAAAACTTCTCCAACCCAGGCTCCAAACTTCCCCTGAAGATTTGTACAAAATATTTGTGTTAAATAATCTATGGTTGAGCTATTTAAGGGGAAAGGCTCCGGTTAAAAAAAACTTTTTTAATACTTGTTATAAAACAGTTATTTCTTTACAGCTTTATTAAGATACATCCGCATATGCATTTCCACAAAAATAAATTTGTGGAAAAACTAGTTTTAATGCCCCAAAATTCCCTAAAATTAAGTGTTTTGAACAGACACAAATTTTGAAAATTCATAATAAATTATTTTGAAGATATGCACTTAAAATTTTTAGCTGAGTGCCCCAAAATATGGAAGAAGATTATGAATTCATTATTTATTGGGCTTAAAATATAATATTTTATGGATGGTGGAAAACCTACGAGGGGGTAAATTTTTCAAGATGGCCGCCGTTGTCATAGTTACCAAGATTCATGAATTTTTTTAGTGGAAATGCATATGCGGATGTATCTTAATAAAGATGTAAAGAAATGTCTGTTTTCTAGCGAGTATTAAAAAGTTTTTTTACCGGAGCCTCCCCCATTAAGATATTTTGTATTTTTAGTCTTCATTTTCAGCAGAAACAATAACTAATTATTATGAAAATATTTTTGCTACATTTGACAACAAAAGATCTGTTGCTAGGTTACCTGACAGCAGAAAGATAAATCTCTGGTGACTCATCAGCCCTGATTCCTCTTCCCCTCAAACCTGCAGCATAAATCATGATTGGATCACATCTAGCTTGTTATTTCATCCAAATCTTTAACAGTCTTACAACATAGCTATCTGATACTAACTTACAAAATACATTCATCTAGCTTGTTATTTATTCAAACATATTTAAAAGTCTTACAACACTGCCATCAGATACTAACTTACAAAATACATTCAACATACACAGTGTGCAAGTATGAAAATGTTAGTTTCTATGTTAACCTTTTTTTTAAATAGCTTTCAGTTAATTTATTTTGAAATGGTACATGTTAAAAGTTGGCCCATACAAATAAAGTCAATTGATGTTAACTCATTTGAATGTTGATAAAATAAACACCAGATATTCTGGACGATCAGGAAACTACTTTTTACATGAATTAGACCACCACCTAGGTTAACCCTCTAGTTTCTATGGTTGCTTTAAGGCAGGGTTTTATTGTTTACTAAAATAAAGAAATTTTAGCAGTTAACTAAAATTTTACTAAAATTGATTTCAGTTTTTTTTTAAAATTCATAGTTTGTCAAAGGTCAGATATTTCAAGGTCTAAGTTAATATTTTAGCGCAACACATGCTTTAAAAACAATAAAAAATTAGGATAGAAATCATAGTGTTGAATAGCAATCTTCATGAGATTGTTTTTGCTTTACATACAAAATTCATTTCAATCTCGTGTTGATGTTAAAACAAAATGTAAACTGTTGTAGCCTATATATGAGAGTACATAGAACAATAACTTAGATGATAATCTGGCAACCTTATAAGTTGTGAATGTATACTTAAGTGACAACATGTAGCCTACTGTGACATTAGCAATATAGACAGTGAAGGACAGCTATGTGAAGTGACAACAGCAATATAGAAAGTGTATGATAGATGATGATGACAACATATAGGCTACAATAGCAATGAAGAGAATGAATGACAAACAACAAGAATCAGGTTCTGCTAAACATGAAATACTGGACAAAGTATTTTCTACTCATGTGTTGGCTACCACATAGGTAGTTAAATCAGGTGGGAAAATATATTGCAGTCAGTCTTATTTAAATAAGTATTAAATATAATTGATGTACGAGTATGATAATTACTAATTTAAATAGGCCAATATATAACAAGTATGAATTACTTCTGAATAAAGTGATGACCAATTATTATGTTGTAAGCAAGTTATAATATTATCAATAAATGAATTACACAGATTAATCCTCTAATTGTTAATTAATATATATATATATATATATATATATATTTATTTATTGTTAATTTTATCGGTAGTAGATAATTATGATCTATTAAGCAATTCTACTTTTTAAGTTTAGCTAGAAATGTGTTACATTCAGAAAAGCTGTTTGACAATTTTAACATACAACTACAAAAAATAAAAATAAATAGTTTTACAAATTTGGTAAAAGTTTTAAAGATTACTCCAATAATATTTAATAACTTTTATTCTGGTGGATTGTTATCTTAATGAGAATTTCTAGTCTATTGATCTTTCAAATTTAAATGTATAGTATATTCAGTCATAGTTTTTATGTTGAAAATTTTACATGTTTAAATTGACATGCTATAATCAAAAACATTCTAAACAAAATCTGCCAAGTTAAAAAATTCTAAATCAAATGAGAATCACTAAAATTTCAGAATTGCAACGTATAATTCATTACATTTGACTAAACTAAGTAAACAAAAAGAAAAAGAATTTTTTGCATTGATATGTTTAGCACATTGAAATAAAAGTTACTTTAGTAAATATAGGCACAAAATATATAGAGGTTCTCACCATATGTTGTTATGACCTGACAAAAATATTTAGTTGCACTTAGTTCAGATAAACACAAGTTATTTTATTTTTGTTAACAAATGACAAAATCATTGTTTAAGTGAGAGTAATTGTGTGGTAACAATTAAAAGTGAACACAATGAGCGAGTTATTTAGTCATCTGAAAACTGGGATGTTAACAAAGAGGCAGCAGGGTGATAATTGCAGTAAAATAAGATTTTTTTTTCTATGCTAAACATGAATTATCCTGAATACATCTTCTGTCATCAAACCACCAAAAAAGATCCTGAAAATTAAAATGTTTTGTTTGCTTATTTGTTCTAAAACTATAATCAGACAAACCTTGTAGAGTGAAAGCTTGTGTCTGTGTACACCACTGAGACAAGGTCAGCAGAAACTGTCAACAGATATGCAGTGAATACACCAAGTGAGCACAACAACTCAAACAAATAAAATAAAAAGATAAAACTAGTTGGCTTTGATGATTCAATGGATGGTGATTCAAACAAAGGTGAAATCATGAGATAATAAAATATATCTTCTTGCATGCCAGAATATTAAGTTTAAGATGTGAAGGCATTTAAAAAGTGAATATTTAAACTGTTAAAAATAAAACTGAACATTTTTAATTCCATATGAACACATCTATTATTTTATTCCAAAACTGAGTAAGCACAAGTTCTTATTAACAAAGTTAAAACCCTTATGTTCAATCTTTTTTTAATCAATTAAAACAATTTTATTTGCCAACTAAAAATTAATGACAGAATAGCATTTAATGAGTTCTGCCTTTCAAAAAGTTCAAAACCTTTATGAACACAAGAAAGATGTGACAAAACTTACAGAACTGGAAATAGTTTTGTTTTCTAACCAAACAGACTTCCATAGGGCAGGATGTCTGCTGACCTTTCTCCACTCCCTACACACTGTTGACGCCACCAATAGGCTGGCTGTGTCCAGATAGGCAAAAACACGAAACAGGGCAATTCTCATCCTTCTCAGCGCTGCCTGTTTAATCTTTTCATTGTCATCTAAATCTGTAAAAAATTTATCAAACATCACCTTATTGTTTATAAAACACATTTTGAATGATTGAACATCCTACTCTCTCTCTCTCATATGGTCATAGCAACTGCTATTTAAGCCAAAAAGACAAAACAGAATGAAGAATCAAGTTTTTCCCAATTCTATTGTGCCAGCTTCTAGATAAGTGTATCCCTCCTAGACTTTTGCTTCCTCCCTAGGTGCATGGCACCACCTGGTTTGAGCTGGAGAGCAGTTCAGTTGGGGGATAATTTACCTTTTGACCCTGGGTACAGAACTCATGACTTTTGGTTTAGCAAGCAAATGTACTACTGCTAAATCACACAATCCCCTTCACTGACAGAACTCATGACTTTTGGTTGAGCAAGCAAATGTTCTACTTCTAAATCACACAATCCCCTTTACAAACAGAACTCATGACGTCTGGTTTAGCAAGCAAGTTGTCTACTTCTAAATCACACAATGCCCTTTACTAACAACTAATAGGCACTGTTGTTGTTTTTTTAATATAATATATACAAATATTTCAGAGCCTGTTTATTTGAATTTAAAATCTCCAAGTTGACCGCATAGAGTGATATTTAAGTGCAAAGTAAAAAAAAAAACCAAGTACAGTGGGGGAAGTTGATAAATAAGTTTGGTATGTGGCTCAGAAAAGTTACTTTCAAGTGAATTGAATAGTTTTATTTACCTTCAGTGTCTGATGACAACAACTCCTGGGAATGTGTCTGCTTTAACGGGGGTCTTTGTTTTCTCTTCTTTCTTATAAACTTGACAGTTGGCACATTTTTTTTCACAGTTAAACCTTTTTGTAAATAACCTGGTTTGGCCAGTTTCTCTAAGTCTGTATCAGTGGAGGCGTCAACACTCTCCTTTCTTTTAGGGTTAAAAGCTGGCCCCTCAGTGTCATCAGTGAAGTTTTCTAGCGAGGTATCACCAATGAACTCTGCTGCGTCATGTGTATTGGAGTTGTCTGTCACCTCCTCAACAAGGGTTTCTTGCTTCTCTTTACTTTCTGAGTCCAATAAATCTTCTTCTGAGGTGGCGCTGTTTAAAGTTCTAACCCTGAGCTCGCGAGCTGGTTTTAATTCAACATCTTGGTATTTAGCCAGATCTTCATCTGCTTCTTTAGCCGGTTCATGAGTTTGTTTCTCTTGTGAAGCAGCATTTACATTCTTTACACTCTGATCAAAAGTTGTGATATTAGACACCTTAGGAACATTTGTTTCTTTGGTATCTTTTGTATCAGTCTGTATTGGCAAGTCTATCTTCTCATTTTCTTTTGCATTACATATTTTTGGTAAGGTAAATTCTTCTTTAGCTTGAGTACTTTTTTCATCAGGCTGATGTTTGGGGACACCTGCTTCAGGTTCAGGTTTGTTGTGTATTTTAGCACCAAGACTTCCTTTAGCTGGTGTTGATGCTGCTGGAGCTTCTATTGGTTCTACAGTAAGACTGGGGTTCTTTGGGCCCCTTTTAACATGGGTGGCTACCATTACATCTTCCTCTAAAGGTTTTGTTTCTTCATTTTTCTCTATGGGCTTCACATGTGCTTCACGATGTTGGTTTTTTACTTGACTCAATGATGCATAGCTGCTGACTGACAAGTCAGAGTCTAACTGACTGACATCAAACCCATATGACTGCTTAGACAAAGTATTGACAAACTTGGGTCTCTCATTTGTTAACTGCTCTACTCTCTTCTGAACTTGTTGGGCTTTGTGTAGTGGACTTGATGGAGAAGACTCCTCTGAAGAATACTCATTTGCTGCTTTAGATGCATGTGTTGGTTGCTTCAGATTCTGTGTGTACAAGTTTTTATGATAGTCTTCCCTGGCTGCAGACTCAGTTGGATTTAGTGAAGTCAAAAGTTTGGCTATTTTGTCCCCTAGTGGTATGGGGTCTTTCTGCAGAGATGAAATTTTAGCTTTATTAATTGGGCTTAATTTAACCTTTGAGTTCTGGTCATATGATTTAAGCTCATCCTCATTTAGGTAGTCTGTCAAGTCCTCATCAACATCAGTGTCATCTCCAAGCTTGAAGAGTTCCATGTTTCCTTGCTTGGCTGGCCTGCCTGGAAAGTTTTTTCTTGAAGACTTGGACAAGGGACTGAAGCCACTGGACGGTACCTGCTCCCAGAGAATCCCATTTTCATCTATAGACAGACCAGCGCTGCGGTCCAGTTCTTTTTCTGGTGGTTGTCTGGAATGGTTGCCAGTTCTGTAACCTCTGACATGAAAACCTGGCAGAGAAGGAACATCAAGATACTGTGTGTACAAGGGATTTTTGGACAGATTTTCAAACATTGTTGCCACCTCTGGTGTATTTTCAAACAACGAATTTGTATTCTGGTGAGGAGAGTCATAATTTTTGTCATACAGATTTCTTTTGTAAAGGTCTTCTTCATCAGAATGTGTTAAAGTATTATTATAAGAGAGAGGGGGCTGTAAATGTTGTCTTGTTACAGCCTGCCCTGAGAAAAATGAACCCCTCCCTAACATGGCGCCAGAATATAAGTTTCTGTTATTAATGTCTGGAACACTGAACGATTTATTTTTAGATGCAAAAAGTGAGTTGTTACTTGAGTGAGTTGGATTAAAATTTGAAAAATGCATGCCTTGGTGCTCTGAGGAAGAGAGGTGCAACGGTTTAGCATTCAGTTGACTTGCATTTTGGTGCATGGAATATGACGAGTGGTGAGGTTGTGAAGAGGGCATGCGCATGCTATTAGTATCAGGATGAGTGAATGAGTGCAAGTTATCCAAGTAGTGTACAGGCTCCTGCAGGTTTGTGAGAGATAACGGCCTGTGATGTGCATTCAATAAGGTGTGTTGAGGTGAAGAAGTGTACACTTGATGCTGTAGAGATGAATGCCCCTGTGTGGGGGATGCCTGTGTAAGACGAGGCAGGTGAAACTGTTGCTGGCAGTTGGAACAAAGTTGTAAGGCTGGGGGTGCTGGCTCCTTCTGTAAACTGATCTGTCTCAGCTGGTTAAAATTGGAACCAACAGCAGGATAATCTTGCATGCAGTTAGAACAACATTCACTCCCATCATTCTGATCATCCAGAGCAGAGTCACCATCTACATAAACTTCCACATTAATTGTTTCATGCAGTTTTTTATTAATACTTTGATCATGCTCCTGTCTTCCTCTATGCCGATCTATTTCCGTCCTTCTCTTGTAAACTGGAGAAATCTGGCCTTTAAGCAATGTACTGTAAAACAAAATTATAAATTTCTTTTTCATGATTTTTCTTTTATTTAACAAGACAATACACTTTTAACTTAACTGAGTTGTTTCCAGGAAATTTAATAAAATAGTTTGTAATTTGTTATTATTCATGTGACGGAGTGGTCTAGCAGTAGAGAGCTGGACTGCTAACCCGTAAGACTCGAGTTCGAATCCGGGTTTAAGTCAGTAGACTGTCCCTGAGTCCACCCAACTTTGATGGGTACCTAACTCAAGTTATGGAAAGTAATGGCGGCTGGGCATAGTGCTGACCACACTATCTCTTCTTATGCCAAGGTCACATAAGCAAGTGAACTCTACTTCACTTGCCCCATAGACCGTCAGGTTTGAAAGGGAAACTTTTTTACTTTATGTTATTATTCAAAGATGTGTAACATTTGAAATATAAAATAATTTCCATGAACAAAGCTGAATAAATGCATGTTTGCTGAATGCTGTCTAAAAATAATTGTCAAACTTTATTAACAGATTCTATTTACCTGAACTAGTTATGAATAAATCATGAAACCAAACCATACCTGTGTTTTTGAAAATTGCTCTCTGAAGGTTCTTCCTCACTAACAGATGTACTGAAATCACCAGCCTGGGGCATGGGTGACCCTGTTGGGCTGACCCCAGGCAAACTACTCAGATCTAAAGCACCAGTGATATCTCTCTTGTGCTGGAAAAAAACAGAAGAAGTAGTGTGTTACACATACAGCATTTTTAATATTTACATAAGTGAAAACTAAGTTAAGTTTGCAATTTTCTTCCTCTTCTTTGTTCTTAATTCTAGTGTTGGAAGGGATTCCCTCCAACAAAATTGAGTATTTATGTGTCAACTTGTTATGCACCATTTCACTCAGATTTCAGCCTGCTTTTCTTTTTGGAATTGCTTCCATAACCTTTGTCCAACCAAGAACAAATTACAAGGCAGCAGGTGTTTGATTTTGGAGTTGTCTCTCCTAGAAAAGCTGCTGTCCCCTCATCTGCCTGAGGGTTTGAACTATGGGACTTTTTGGTTTAGCAACCATGAGCTTTACCAACCCTTGAGTTGGCAATGAACAGTGTCATAACAAGGTTTTAAATGATATTCTTTAAATCATACAGTAGTGTAATATTATTTTCTTGACTGAAAAGCTTGTGTGGACAAACTTTCGGTTCTTAGTCAGCCAGCTATTCAGAACAATTATAGTTCAAGGAGTCTTAGTTATTTTCTAAATACCTAGAATCATTTCACTCAGATAGCACCTAGCAATGTTGTTAAAAGGTTGTATATTATTGCTCCTTTAACAACTGTTGTGGTTCAAAAGCTTAAAATGAATGTTTAAGTCATCAGCTGTTACTAGTTTACTTTAAAAAAAGAACACAAAAACTGTGGCTACTTTTCTGGGTGTTGCAGCATGTTGAAGACTGTGGCCAAAAGATGCCTTTAATCTCTCTAGTTCTTCTTCAGCTTGTCCTGCCCTGTCTATAAGACCTGAGATGAAGGTCTCCAGCTTAGCCCGGGCTTCTATCTCTTTCTCTGCTGTATCTTTCAGATAGTTGGTCATTCGTTGCATCTCACTGGAAAAGAATAATGCAAACATTAATTTAAATATTATTTTAATAATTATCCCAGGTAGTCTGTCATTTGCTTCATCTCACTGTAAATTAGTTTAGAAGAACAATGTAAAAATTAGTAGCTTATTATTATTTAATAAATGTATTTTTCAGGTAGTTTGTCATTCGTCACTACAAAAGAAAAATGCAAACATTAACTTAATAAATATATCTTTTAGACAACTAGTCATTTGTTGCATCTCACTGTCAAAATAAATGTAAAAGTTGTAAACCTAAATATAATTTTAATTTGAAAATAAAATATCTGATATTTGTTAAAGAGGTGTAATCAAACTTACTGTTTTGCCTTTTTTAGTTTTTCTTCCCTTTTTTTAAGCTCTTCCTTTAACTTAGCTTGACTTTTTTCTCTCTCTGTGAGCTTTGCCTTGAGGACTGCCATTTTCTCCAACAGCTGTTTATCCTTCCCATCTTTAGCGTCTAATTCAGTCTTTAATTTGATCAAATCTTTCTCCAGTTTTTTCTTTTCAGACAAGCTATTGTCTAAAGTTTCCTTCATTTCCTTCACCTTCAAAGTGGGAGAAAATTAAATGTAATCAAGTATGTTTTTTACAGTTACATGAATTAAATTCAATCAATGTCCATTAATAAATGCAATCAAATACATTTATTGCAAGATGATAATAAATTTATCTAGTATATTCCTTTAACGTCCATTAAATATATTTTACTTGAAAATATACCTGTAAAAATTAGATTTTCTCATAAATTAACTATTTAATGAAGTAATTTCACTTTTAATGACAGTGATCATTTTACTAATTAATAATTAAATTTATCAGTTTCCAAACACTTTTATAATAATTTACATTTGAAAAGGTGAATAAATGGAAAAAACAATGTGCGAGGTTTGAATGCTCATGTATGTTAATGAAACTGATGCTATTCTTCAATTACTAAATTTAGTACATTTTGTGCAGAGAGCAACATATGTTAAAAAATACTTGTTTATAATGCATGATCATAACACAAACTGTTACTAATACTAAAATACTCTTCAAATGTCATATGAAATCAATGTGAGAGAAAAAGGTTAAGTAAAATATATTTTAACTGATAAAAAAATATTTGATTTTTGTCTCATTACCTGAACTTTGTTGGATGAGATTTTTGTTTGGTAAATCGCCTCCCTCTCTGCTGCAAGCTTCAAGCATTCATCTCTCTCCTGAGCAAGCCTGGCCTGGGTGGATCTAGCTTGTTCTAAGGAGTTAGTCAGACTTGCCAGCTGATGCTCTCTCTCCTTCAATAGTGTCTTCAGCTTGGCTAAGCTGACATCTGCTTGGTGGTATAGGGCATTTGTCTCCCCTAGAAGTTAGAAAACGATTAAATAAATTGGTGACAAATCTAATAATATGTACTTTTATCAAGCAGTTCAAAACATACTTAGCTACAAGAATGATTCAGCTTCATTAAACAATTTAAAAGAGACATATCTTGTACTGGTTTAAATAAATAAAAACTTTTTCAGAGACTGAATATTATGTTAAAAATGGATATGTAACATAATTATAAATTCAGTTAAAATGATTCGTGGGACTATATGTTAACTGCTGCATTTTTTTATATCAATAAAAAAGAATTTTAAAAGAATCAGTGCAAGTTAAAATTGTGTGAAATTATTGATGTCAATGAAGCTGGTGGTCTAGGGATGAATAATTAATACCAACCTAACAACTCTGTCTGTTCATGCTTAGAATGCTCAAGTTCACTGTTAAGTTGGGATAACTCTTGTCTTTGACTTTCCAGTTCTGATTGAAGTTTTTCATTGTCCAATGCTGCTGTTTCGAGTAAACTCTGCATTTCAAACAACAAATTCTGCCGATCTCTGTCAAGCTGATGTGCTTTTGTCTTTATGAGGATGAGCTCCTTATCTTTTGAATTTGTATCAGCAGGAATTGTTCTTCTAGGACTGTCAATCAAAATGCCTGGGTTACTTACATTATCAGCCACATGCTGAATGGTCGGTGACCTAAGATTTTGAAGCCTGAAGTCTTTCGGTGTGTCTGTGTCATGTAAATTCTTTTCATTGACCAATTTAAACCCTTTTGTACTCTCATCAAGTTTTAATTTCTCTGGCTTATCCCCCTTGTTAAAATAATCATGCATTTTTTCCATCTTTAAGTTTAATGCATCAAGTTCTTTTTGTTTCTGAAGGAGCTGCTGTTGAAGAAGTTCTGTAGTATAGTCAGACTGTTCTTGCAGCTTGTGAGCTTTCTCTAGGTTCTCAATTTGCTGCTGGCCTAGATTCTCTATCTGTTTTGTTATCATCTCGAGTCTCTTTTCTTTAAACTTGAGTTTTTCTGCTAGAGTTTCTATAACTCTTTGCTGCTGGGCTATTTTAATTTCCGCAGCCTGTTCAACATTAATGAGTAATTCTTCAGTGGAATACAAGGAGTCTGCAGTGGCTTGCTGAGTGGCTCGTTCATGCATCACCTCATGAGATAAAGAAGACAAAGTTTCTTTCACATGCCTTTCTCCCAAGTTTCTTGGGTTTGATCTTGAATACAGTGGAATGGAGTGAAGATTCTCTAATTTAGTAGGGTAAAATTCTACATCAGAATCTGATAAAGCGCCAGAAATAAATGATTGCTGTTTATGAGCTCCCACATTGTAAATAGCTGTTTCTACAGGGTAATTTTTAAATCTATGCTGATTCCCGTCTCGAACTTTTTCTTTAAAATGTTTTCTTTCACTATAGGCTGGACTCTTTGTTAAATGGGTCCCTACATTTTCTCTTCTAATTCTTTTATTATTCAGCTCATCTTCTTTATATTTCCTAAGTGACTCCTCCAGTTTTTGAGCATCAGCATGAAAGAGTTCCATCAATGGAGAATGGCGCCCTGAGAATGAGCTTCCATTGGATAAGTTTATTCGTCTCCTGGAGCGGTAAGAATGCTGTCCTTCTAAATGGTGGCGTAAATCTTGCAAGGTGTCAAACTTCTGAGTGTCACCACAATGTGGACACCTAAAGGGTATCTTTAAATCCATGTTGTCTCTAGATCTGATTCTCTGCTGTCAATGGTAATTAGAAAAAAATTAATTATGCTTTTTTATAAGCGCTCATGACAAAGCTATACAAACATTTTGAAATTATATATATATATATATATTTATATATATATATATATATATATATATATATATATATATATATATATATATATATATATATATATATATATATACTTACGTTGTGTCACTGCTCTCATGTATTTTAATTATAGCCAGAGGTGTGCATAGTAACTAAATATATAACAACTGAATTTTCTGTACTCTAGTTATGAAATCATGTGTTTTTTATCAATAAAAACTAATGCTGATTATGAGATTATCCATTCATTGGGTTCAAGCTTAGAGTTAATCTCTGCCTCAGCTGGACTTCCTTTACATTGAAAGGCTGTGTAATTAACTGGTATTTAAAACAAACTAGCACAATACTTTAAGCTGGCAATAAGATTGAAGCAATATTTGTAAAAATAAAATTAAAGTTTAGCAAACTGTGTTTTTAATCTGACAAGGTGCGGTGGATCACTTTTTAAACGAGCTGTGTAAAAATTAAAATTTTAAAATAGGAACCTGGAATGTTAAGTAGTCCATCTGTTTCTGAGCATATGGCTATGACATGACTGGATAGTTTAGTATCAAACTTTAATCCTTGTAAAGAAAAATATTTGAGCCCAAGCTATCACTATTCAAGATCCCTATTGATTAACTCTTTATGTGAGTCACTTTAATGAGCTGTGTTAACAATAACATATATCACTAAATGAGAACCTGGAATTTCCATTGATAAACTCTTTATAGTTTGAATCAAACTTAATGATTTGATTGTCTTGAGAAAATATGTTTTTTGTTTATTAACAAAAAATTTAAAAATTTAAAATCTAAAAGGAAAATTTGACTTTCACTTGCTTTAACATGTGAGATGAACAAAATATGTAAGCAGCTTTATTTTACCACTTAGCAGCTCTAGTTTCAATATTTTGTTTTAATTAAATGATCAAGTTATGGTTGCTGGGCACTTGTATCAACTTGCCCCAGAGACTTTTAGTCCAAGCTTCCCATATTATATATGTATATAAATATATATATATATATATATATATATATATATATATATATATATATATATATATATATATATATATATATATATATATATATATATGTATATATATATATATATGTATGTATACATTTATTAATCGGCTAATTACTAATTAAATATTGTATTGTATGGTGCCATCATTTAATACAATTATTTTTTCTATTTGAATAATCACATGTCATAATATATAATAAATTATTACTACTATTAGATACACCTATTATAATTTTTTTAATAATAAAAAGTCTATTACTTTACATAGGGCCTATATTATAATTTTTAATTTATGTATATAAGTATACATATATAAATATATATATTACATAGGCCTATATATATATATATATATATATATATATATATATATATATATATATATATATATATACCTATGCAATAATCAACCTATTAAAAATATATAAATAAACACAGAAATAGGCTATATTATATAATATATATAGATCTAGAAATCTAGTCTTTAATTTAAATCTTCAAAGGACAAAATTAGCTTTGAAACTGTTGGATAATTTTAAATTTAATACTTTTTGACGTAATATGCCTAAAACGTAATAAAATAAAAGCTCTATTACCTTGTATAATGTAATGAGATGCACTCAAATACACTTTCTTAGTGAGTTCAAAATGAATGGATATTATTATTACAAAAGTTTTAAAGTTTAAAGTAGAACTAGACTAGATCTAGGTCTAGATATTCTAGAACGAGATCTAGATTCTAGATTTAGATCTAGATCTAGATCTAGATCTAGGTAGATCTAAATAAAAAGCTGTGTGATGAATCATTGCTGTTATCTCAACTGTGAGTGGGTTGGGTTAATATGTTTTCTGTTTTACTCTACCGGGAGTCGAATCAATAATTAAATGAAACAGAGAGCGAGAGAAACATCTGTGCCAGCTCATACATGCATCGATCGGCTCACTCGGTGCGTAAACACAGCACAGCGAGGGTGAGTTTAAATTTCTGCAGGGGACATAACCGAACAATTTCTTTTTTATTTTACACGCATTTGCCGAGACCTACGCCAAGACTTAGTAGCAGAACTGAGGTAGGCCTTCTGGATTCTTCCGGTGCAATGGAAGATTTTTTTTTTCTCCCTTCACACCATCCAAAGCGATGTCAAGTTTGTAATTTTGAAAGTAAAATGCTGGTTGTGACAGCCTTCATTGACTTGTAGTTGACCTAAAGCAGCTTCAATCAACAACATCGGATTTTTAAGTGCCCCCCCACCCGGAGACTAATGCCTGAAAGAAACCATGCTACAGCTTAAAGCGTGGTGGAATGAAGACCTTTCTAACCGGTGACATTTAAAATCTAGATTCTAGATCAGTATCTAGATCTCAGAGGCGTAGCGAGGGGGGCGCCAAAATGGGTTGGAAAAATAAATTGAAAGCTTGAGGGGGGGTGCAAATCGAAATCTTGAGGGGGGGGGGTGCAAATCGAAATCTTGAGGGGGGGGGGGTGCAAATCGAAATCCTGAGAGGGGTGCAAATCGAAATCCTGAAAGGGGGGGGTGCAAATCGAAAGTTTGAGAGGGGGGTGCAAATCGAAAGTTTGAGGGGGGTGCAAATCTAAAGTTTGTCCCCGGGCGCCGGGAAGGGTCGCTACGCCTCTGCTAGATCTAGATCTAGATAGACCTGAACTACTCTTGTAATGACATTAGATTATGTTTAGCCGTATTCAGTCTACCCATGGCTGCATATTCATAATCGGTGAAATACGCAAAATAATAACATAAAAATAGTTCTTTAAAGTAATAGAATCGTAAAAGGGTTCATGGTAAATTAAACGTTTTCAATTTTACTGAAATGGAATACCTATACATCTAGATCTAGGCCCTAAACTCGAAGTAGGGCCTAGGCCTAAACGCCTGTACAGAAGTGGGTTATTTTTCGCACCTGATTATCTCCCTTTCCAAGAATCTTCAGAAACCGTGTTTTGATCGGTGAGGTGAAGCGGGACATTTAATATTTAAAAAATGGATATCAACTTTACTACGAGTTCTAGCAGTAGCTTTCTCTCATTTCCTAGTAGATTACGATCAAAACAAAAACGGAGAACTATACATGGAAGCGAAATACACAGTCTCAAGGTATACCTAGTCTATTTCTTATTTATTTTTTTTAAAATGTATGAAAGTAAGAGCCAAAGGCCAGAGTACTGCCAACTGCGGCGAGTAGCCATGGCCATGAGTGCGAGAACCCGTTCCCCAACCTTACCAACTTGACTGACATAGTCAGGCATAGTGACATAGATCTAGATTCTAGATCTAGATTTTAATCTAGATCTAGTCCAGGATAATAGGATATGGAATAGAATTCTAGATATAGATCTAGATCTAGAATCTAGTCAAAATCGATCTAGAATCTAGTCTCTAGATCTAGATCTAGATTAGTCTAGCTAGATTAGTCTAGAATCTAGATTAGATCATTATAAGTATTTTTTAGAAGATCTAGATCTAGGCCTATAATCTAGATCTAGAAATCTAGATTAGTTTCTAGATCTAGTTATTTAGGGGTCGCCCATAAATGAATTCACACTCATAGGGGGAGGGGGGGTCCGTAATTTTTTAATTTTGTGACGGTGTGTGATGAGTGGGGGGGGGGGGTCAGATGGTGCGAGGTCACACTTTTGCATTTTAAAAAAGCAATGTTAGAAAACGAATTTTAGACGTTATTTCGCATTTTAGAAAACTTTTTTAGTTTTAATAATTTGTAATAGGAATTGATTAAAATACTCTATTTTGACAGAGTTCAGACAGAGTTAGAAAAATATCGATGTTTTAAAAAAAAATTCAACTGCAATTTTGAGGGGGGTTGTAGGCTGAGGTGTGACGTCATTTTAGGGGGTGCCTGGCTTTTTGTGATGACGTGTGATGGAGCGTGACGTCATTTATAGATGACCCCTTACTGTTAGGCCTAGCTAGATCTACTACTATAGAAAAAACTCAAACTAAACTTTACTAAACTCTAACTAAATCATCCATTAGGCCTAGTCATTAGATAATTTACGCTATTATTAGTTAGAGACTCAGCCACCTTAGTACTCAGTGCTGACACGAGTTTTTATGTAATTGTTCTAGTCTAGATTTCTAGATCTACCACCAATAGTATAGGCCTTATGGTTAAGCAGTGGCGTAGCGAGGGGGGCGGGGGGTGCAGAGCACACCAGGTGACACCATTTAGGGGGGTGACACCAAGGCAAAAAATAGCAAAATGTATAGAGCAAAATGATAATTCCACTTAATTGATTAATTTGAGTGTTAAATAGTCTTTTAAGAGGAAATTTGTCAAATCCCGACATGGGTGAAGGGAGGGGGGGACAAATTGAAAGTTTGTACCCGGGCGCGGCAAGCGTCGCTACACCTCTGGGAGGGTGGCACCATTAAGTGCCGCACCGGGTGACACCCGACCTCGCTACGCCACTGCGGCTAGGCCTATCCTATAGTATCCGGACCTATAGACTAGCTAGTATTATTTTATAGACTTGGTTGTTATTGAATTTATTCTTTTTAATACTTTTTATAGGCAAACTTCAACAACTTAAAGAAATTATTAAGAGTAGGCCTTATCCTAATTATTCTATATAATAGTTTCGCTGTCTGTCTATCTATCTATCTATCTATCTACCTATCTATCTATCTGTCTGACAAGAACGCTCTAGAGAAAAGACAAGCAATTTAAAAACATGCATAGTAATTCGAAAAACGAAGTATGACGTCGACACATTTAGCATAGAGTAGAAAATAATCTCAAACCCAGAGAGTGCTCACAGTTATATGACGTCATTGATTTTCGCGCTAACATTGAATAAAAAGGAAATGTTGTCTAATCTAAATGGTTTGCGTGAAGAGTTTCTTGCATACAGTTCTTCGTGTAGGGGCGAAGCTCCACCCCCCGCGTAAGAACGTCTGAGCCCCCCCCCCCCCCCCCTCCCCAACTCAAAAGAAATTTCTTCATCGATACTCTATAATAAAATTACCGCCTAATTAATGTGTCTAATCTAAAAAGTGGTTTTCTCGCAATTTCTTTAATGCAATTCTTCGCGTAGTGGCTAAGCGCGACACCAGTGTTTCTTTCAGACTTTTTCCTCCCTGGAGAGCGGTGGGGGTACTTGAAATTTTCGGGGGCGGGGGTAAAATTTTCGGGGAGGGGGCGGACACTGGAAAAAGTATATAATTATATTTCGTTGAATGGGACGGTAGACATGTTTTTTTGGGGGGTGGGTGGGGGTGGGGGGGGGGGGGTCGGTGTGTGGGGTGGGGGTGGGGGGTGGTGTGTGTGTGGGGGGGGGTGGGTTGGTTTTAGTTTAGAGAAAAGAGACAGCACTATCAACCTAGCGCCCGGTGTATCCTTCCTCAACGGGCCATTTTTCTCGTTAATTAATATTAGGGCCTAACCTAAAGTATTTAAAAGTATTAGGGCCTATAAAATAATAGTAATAAGCTTAAGTCTTTACTTTTGAATAGTAAGGCCTAATAGAATTTAGATCTAGATCTCGACTAGAATCTAAATATAGAAATACTAAAAAATCTATTTAGTAACTTGTACTTAGATCTAGTAAGTTACTTTGGCTACAAGTGTCTAGATCTATATTGTTTAGTCATTAGAGTCAGCCTCAGGGTTTGGGCGGAGGTCAAGATACACACCCAACTCGCATGATTCATGATCAGACTTTGTCCGTGATTGTCAGTGCAGACAGTAGAGGTATTGAGAACAGAATGGTTCAGTGAATGCACATATCGTTGACATATGTGACTGGTGGGGTTAGGTACCTCAAAAAGTTTTTTTTAATAAACTTAGACTTGCCTCCTAAAGAGCTATGCAGGCTATTTTATATTCTTCTACTATTAGCAGTAATAGACCTACTATTATAATTAGAGGATTAGGTAGGCTAATATTTTAATAAAAAAAAATAATTAAAAGGTTGGAATTTATGCAGCAATAGTTTCTAAATTAAAATTATATTTTGACTTTTTATTTTTCCCAGGAAAATACAAAACATCATTTAGAAGCAGAATGTGCTGTGAACAAAGAAAGCAAGTTAAAGAGATCCAATTCTGGTGGAAATATTAGTTCCTTTATGTCACTTACTACCCTCAATCAAAGCTCTAACCTCAGTAGTATCGTTAAAAGTAGCTTGCGACGTAAAGTTTCAAATAGTTTGTTAAAACACAAGTTCAGGAAACTTCAGGTTTGTTTACACTAATGTTAATTCATGTTTTGGGGGGGGGGGGGGGGGGGGGGGTGTACTGCTGATGTGTTGAATGTCTCAAACCACTTAGTAACCAAATATCAATATGTATTATTGTATGGCAGCTTCTCTGTATCTAAGTTTCTGTTTTAAAATGTCATGGTTTGTCTTGACTACTAGAAGCTTACTTGTACACATTGAAGCATTGTATTTTATTTCTTACAGGATTATTCTCTGTCTTTGGACCGTGACAGTTTTTCTGTGTTAAGAGAGACTTGTAATGTGAAAAAAGTGCCCTACTCTTCTGTAGCTACAAGAAGTCAGAAGGCTTCACCGCCACCTAAACCACCACGCCAGAAGCCTCCAAAAAATCCTGGATTACTGCACAAGGGCGTGGATGCCTCTCCTGTGTGGAAAAGGCAAAAACAAGTTGCTCTGGTAAGATTTGGTTTTTTTTTTTGTTTTTTTCTCAATTCATTCCTACATAATCTAAATCCTTTTCATTTTCATCATGGTTTTTTTTTCTAATGCTTTTCATCTCCTTGGTTATTTCTGCAAATAAGCTTTGTTTCTTATCTTTAAATATTTTCAATAGTGGTTTCGGTTATTAATTTATCCTTAAATATTTTCAATAGTGGTTTTGGTTATTAATTTATAGCATCTATATTTATTTATACTTTATGAAGTTTATGGGT